TGGCTGAGTAGTAGTCCATGATATATATACCGCATCTTCTTTATCCAATCATCGGTGATGGGCACTTGGATTACTTCCATGTCTTGGCTATTGTGAGTAGTGCTGCAATGAACTGATTTATTTTTGTCCTCAATAAATTTCATCTTGTTAGTTTATTTTCATTTGTTCTAGCTTGCTAATTTTTAACTGAATCATTATTTGATTATTCAGTATATTAGCCTAGGGTCAGGATTAGGGTGAGGCAAGTAGGGCACTCACCTCAAGGACAAAATTTAAGGGTCACCACCTCAGAAATGGAGTCAAATAAATTTTTTTTCAGTTTTATTGAGGTATAATTGACAAATAAAATTGTAATAAGTTTAAAGAGTCCACGTAAAAAATGGCTAGATATCTTTCTATCAAGAAGGAGGGAGAAAACAGAAGAGGAGTAAATAAAAATTCTGTAAGTTTAAAATGTATAATAAAAAGAAACTCTTCCAAGTGATGTACTTGAAAGCACTTTGGAAAGATTAGTTATATTTTTTAAAGCAATGCACTAATTAGCTTATTTACACGTCTTTGAGAAGATAATCTAAAGTAGTTTGTTCATCAGAGACCAGCTGTGTCTCCAGCCTGCTTAATAATCAGATAATAGTATAGTCTGGTGCTAAGCCCTTGGGTACTGAGAACTGCCTTCGGGAGAGGAGGATGCTAAACGGGCAGAGTTCTGGATCTCCTTCTCCTGACTGACTCAGAAAAAGTCTGTTTTTATTTGTTTTGCCTATTGGACTTATGCTTAAGATCTAATATAGTCTTAGACACTATGTGCTTGTATATATCTTGAGAATATGGGTAAGTAAATTAATGTGACCTGTCTATGGAAATTTTGGCAACCATGAGCGTTCCAGTATACATGAATTGAATGAATACTATGTTATCCCTATTGGAGATAATTAGAAAAAGATGGAACTGGAGGTTAAGAATAAGAAATGTAGGTGATTTGGATGGTAAATAGTAATAGAGGTGTTCAAAATAAAACTTTGGGAGAAATAAAATGGATAAAGGAAAATAAAGCTTGGTTTTAGAACTGCAAGTGGATATGTGTGTAAGGAAAACTGAGAGATCTGGGAAAGCAAGAGATGGGACCCAGGACCCTGGAAGGTGGGGATCTGGGGCGATGGGATATATGACTGGCATTTCAGGAGGGATAAGTGGACATTGCTGAGTTGTCATGAAATCAAAAAAACTGCAAAAACTAGGAAGAAAGATATGGTCCAACAGGGAAGGAAGACATTAATCAAATAATCACAAAAATGTAAAACTATAACTATTTTAACTAAGCATACAAAGGAGAGGTTTATGTTTTATTGGGTCTGTGTGGAAACAATGGTCAAGCTTAGATCTGAAGGAGCTGCTGTACTGGGTGTGCATATCACCTCTTAGGGTGCCAAGTACCCCACAGTGAGTGCCCTCTAATTCCTACAAGCTATGTAGAATGTCACTCTTTCTGAATCAGTGTATCAAGAGGGAGGCATGTGGTGGTAGTGGCTAGCCATGACTTTGGCTGATTCTGAAGGCAACACCAGTGTGGTCTTAGGACCATTTACCTATTTGTTAGTTGGTACAAATCCAAGATATTTGACCCAGACGACAAACAATAGTGGAGATAAATTCCCTCCTACCATTTTTTGAGATGGTTTCATGAGTTTGGGTAAGTTTTCTTTAGTCCACTTCCAGCTGCCTTATTATTTGTGAATCTATGTGAATTAGTGGGGAGGGAGATCCTGAAGAGTTTCTAGGATAGAAAATGGAAATTAGTCATAAGTACTTATTATTGGTAAAACAAAACTTTGGAATTTTCTGGAGTCTATGAGGAACTAATAGATTCACATTATTATCTTTAGTAATACTACAGTGCTGAGCAAATACATATTGAATTAACGAACAGGAAAATGTTACATATGTACCAGAAGCTTTGAGAAATCATAAATTTACATTTCAGCACATTTATGATGTTTTATTCCAAGTAAAATTTTGGAAAACTTCTTTTTACATTAACCATATGTTTTATTTCAAGTTGGTGTGTGGTCACTAATGTAAAGCTTTTAACTTTCCTTTTATTCAAGAGCTGTGAAGTAACGAGGAAACTAGTAACAAAAACCTTGATCCAAATCCAGTCATCTCCACTTCAATGAGTGGTAATTCCATTCTTCCAGATGCTCATCCAATTAGTCAAGAAATCCCCTCAGCTCCTTTTTGAACTATATTTTTAGTTCAGTTACTTCTAATCGCCTGAGCTATTCTCTAGGTCAAGTCACCAACATCTCTTATCTGGACTGCTGCACTGGCTGACTTTACTTTCACCCTTGCCCCATCTATAGCCTCTTTTCCATTTGGGAGCTAGAGTGATTCTTAAAAAAAAAAAAAAGAAGTCAGATTATGTCAGTCTTGCTCCTAGGTTTCCCATTTTACTAAATAAAACCTAAACAAAATACCACAGACCTAAGGATCTCATGTGATCTTGGCCTCTTTCTGGTCCTCTGACCTTATTTCCTGTTATTCTCCTCTTACTTCTTGTGTTGTGGCTACGTTAGCCTCCTTATTTTTCCTCACACACACAAGACATCTTCATACACTTTTGCACTTGCTATAATTGTCTCTTGCTATGCACTATTCCACTGGATATCCATGATTCATTTTGTCATCTCCCTTAAAATTTTGCTCAAATATTACTTTAGTAAAGAGGCTTTCCCAGACCACCCTACATAAAATAGCACTTGCTTCCATCTGTCACAGTCTGTTCCCTCATCCTGGTTCACTTTTCTTTAGAGCACTTACTATCTGATGTATAATATCTATTTGTTTGTTTGTCTCTCTCTGTAGAATGTGGTTCCATGAGGAAAGGGTTTTGTTTTGCTGTTGTTCATTGCCATATCCTTAGCACCTAGGATGGTGCCTGGCATTTAGTAGGTCCTCAGTAAATATTTGTGCATAAATCTTAAGTGCATCCTTTGAAAGGAAGACTTTTTATAAAAGAGATGTCCACCAGATGGCATTGCTTTCAAACTTTATGTAATTAATGTCAGGGAGCAAAAGATAGATCTTTTCTGTTGTTTGCTCTAACTAGAAAAGATCTTTGTGATGAAGATTGTCACAAGAAATTGCTACGTTTAATCTGAGGCATATAGAATACTACATTTATGTTTGGTTTTTGATTTATGTATTTTTAGATATCTTTTCTAAAATAAAAAAACATTTGGAGAAACTTATTATAGGAAATTATAGCATGTTGGTATGTAGATACCATTTGGTACAGTTATTTAGCATGGTGACTGTGACTTAAGTTAGTTCATATCCCTGCATTGACCACCTTCCTTCTGAGGGGCCTTAATGGAACGAGAGAGCAGTAATAAGTTCCAGGGCCTTTCACCACTCAAGCCACTAGTTGAAATCCAGCCCAGTGTGGGAGGAAGAAAGTCATTACTGTCTGTCAGCTGTTTAGGCATGGTTGCCAGTGAGTTAGGTACTCCCAATCTAGTTCCTAATCAACTGGGTGTCCAAGTTTTGAAAAACTTCACGTTTCTGGCAGATGTTACCATACCTATCCTGCTAAAAGTCGGTGGGTTCCAAGTGTCAGAATTTTTTAGCTGACTTCTCTGACTAGCACTAAACTCAGCAAATAGTTGCCCTAATCAAGAAATTTACTCATTTTCCCCAAACCCTCAACATCTGCCTGTTCTGCCTTTGCCAGTGTCATCTCATTTCTTCTTGCTTTCATCACTTACCTCATTTCTTCCTTTTGTTCAATCCCTATGCCTCTCTCAAGCACTTCTCCTGAATGGTCATTTGATCCATTTTGTTCTCACTCTTTACACATCTTTACTCCTAAAGTAATTTTTCTCTTCCTGTTCAACCTAATGATGTTTTTCTTTTCAAGTTGTTCAAAATATACTTTAAAAAAAGTTATTGACTTGTTTTCTTTTATGTCTCTCTTTTCCTGTTTTAGATTTTTCTCTTTCACTTCTGATCATGGCATAAGTGAGAGACTTATTTTGTTTATCTCTTTAAAGTTCTCAGCCTCTTCTTGGAACTCACTAACTATGTAGAAATGAAAACACTATTCTGTTGTACTTTTGTGTCTTTAAATGGAATGTAAAGTATAGGATGGTTTTAGTGTTTACAGTCCTCCCTCCCAGTTCCCCTTGGATGGTTAATTACTGAGCTGATAAAGTATCATTTTAAATAGGAGACAGTTACATGCAAAGATTTACATTTTTAACCAGAAATACTTGAAATTTCTAGTACTGCTCTCCATGTCATGTACTATTTATGATGATAGTTGCATCTGTTTTAACTTGCACTCTCCTACGTTTGGCCTACCCCATGTATTAGATCTAGCTTTGAGGTCAGCGTTCAGTGTTTAGAAAATCATTTTTTGTTTACTAAGGAAATATTGGACACCATCCGTTTATTTGGAAAATAATTTCCTGTTTACCAAGGAACTGTTGGATAGAACTTTGTATGTAATAAGTTTTAATTGAGAAAGCATATTTTTCTGGCCTGAGACATGGAGACTTACTGATATCTGGTGATTAGAATGATAGTGTCTATATTTGTTCAAATATATTTGTTTCATTCATGAAAATGAAAGCACTTTTCTTGTTTACTAAACATATCTTATAGCTGCTAGTCAACTTATCATTTATAAAAAAACATATTTATTCCCAGAAAGATAAATCTCAGAGACATTGTTGCTTGCTCAACATTAGATGAGTTCTAAAAGCCCTTGCTGGTCTCATGCTCTGACTGCTAACCTCTTTTACTGCTTGTAAAGGAGACATTTATAAGTCCAAAATTATATATTAAGCCATTTTGCTTATACCTGCTCTATTGATAAGGCTTTTTGTTCTAGTGTTACTTGTGGCTTATGAGTTTCTTAAGTAAAATTTGTTAAGGGTTCAGCATTGTGGCCTTAAATATCATTGACTATTTTTGCTTGTCCTATTTTTTGCCCCCCACAGACTGGTTGAGATAGCAGAATCTCGTTTTCCCAGCTATTTTAACAATGAAGACAAATTACTTTTGACAAGCAGTAACGTTCATCTTTACCGGGAACTCAGTTGTGATGAGGTTCTACAAAGGTACACCATTTTAGATTTTGGTATTTTAGTAATACTTTGAAGATTTTATTTTTCATGTTTTTAGCTTCTGAGTGGAAAAGAAAATCCCTACATATTAGGATTATGGGAAATAAATATTGCCGTGTTCTTCTGTTCTTACTGCAGCCTATTGGTTGAAATATTTCTTTAAGAATGAAAAAATATTAAACAAAATATTTTAGATTTTATTAATTAAGTGGAGTATTAATTATCTGTTGTTCCACTAACAAATTACCGCAAAGTTTAGCAGCTTAAAACAGCAAACATAGATTATCTTACATAGTTTTTGAGGATTAGGTATCTGGGAGTGGCTTAGCTGGGTGTTCCTGGATGAGGATTGCTCAAGAGCTCACAGTCAAGCTGTTGGCCAGGGCTGTAGTCATCTCAAGTCTCACTTGGGACTAGAGAATCCTGGAGAATTTCAAGGTCACTCATGTAGTTGCTGGAAGGCCTCCCTTCTTTCCTGGATGTTAGCCAGAGGCCTCTGTCCCTCACCATGTGGGCACTCCATAGGGCTACTTAGAACATGGCAACTTACCTCCTCCAGAGCGAGTTGATCTGAGAGAGAGTAGGCAGGTGAGAGAGAGTCCAAGATGGAAGCAGTAGTCTTTTATAACCTACTCTCAGAAATGACGTACTGTTATTCCCTGGTACAACAAGGGAGGGGACTCCACAGGGGTGTGAATACCAGGAGTTGGGCGTAACTGGGGGTCATTTTGGAGACTGGCTACCACAAGTAGTTTTACTCTAAAATTGGAGCTTTAGCAGTATCATAGGAGAACCAAGGCATAAAACTAAATGAAGATATTTTGGTCTGTTTCCAAGAGTGCAATATGTATAGAAGAACTGAAAATAAGTTATGTTTATTAAATACTTGCAAGCATTACTGTAACTTAGGGAAGAACAATTTGTTGTTTTTAAGTTGGTTAACCTTTGCAATGCCTCATTTTTTTAATTATATCTTAAATTTATCCACTATTTTACAAATTCTGCTTTTACAGGGTTGAATCTTTAGAAGAAGAAATTATTTCAAAAGGAGTTAAACTTGTGATTATTGACTCTGTTGCTTCTGTGGTAAGAAAGGAGTTTGATACACAACTTCAAGGCAACATGAGAGAAAGGAACAAGTTCTTGGCAAGAGAAGCAGCTTCCTTGAAGTATTTGGCTGAGGAATTTTCAATCCCAGTAAGTTTTCTTTTTCTTTCTTCTTTTTCTTTTCCTTTCTTTTCTTTCCTTCATATTAAGTTCACTGACTCATAGTATGAAATAATATAATTAGAAGGAAATATAAAACAGATGACTTTTTAAATGCAACACAGTCTAATTGCTATAGCAGATATCACCATCTTCTTAACTTTGGTCATTTGTTGAGATTATTTTATCTTTTTCAAATTTGAGCCTGGAGCAGATTTAAATGTTGTTTTTAAAAGTTCCTAAAGTCACTCCTTTTCTTTGTTCTCACTCTTTACTCTTTGTACGTGTTTTATGTTACTTTTGTCACACTGAGATAAATATTAAGTATTAAAACTCCATGAAATTGCCTGGGTCTGTTTCTATACAGTTTTTTTTAATGGAAGTAGATGTCATTTTTGTAAATATTTTAGGTTTAGATATTATGTTATTGTGTTCAGTGCTGTTTGTACACTGTAGGATTTGGTTTGCTTCAAATGGCCAGAGGTTGACTATTATAGTGTGTGTGATAGAAATGAAAGTGTCAGTAAGGAACTCTTGAAAGATTACTGTTGACATGATGTTTAGTAGTGGGAATTGCGATCAGGAAATCGGAAGATGAGGGTATATTGCAAGCGTTTGTGGTGGGTGAGCTATAAAACATAAGTATGTGCTAAAGTTCCATTCCCATTAGCAGTGTGTGGGAGGGTTCCACTTGTTTTGCAGCCTCAGCAACATTTAGTATTGTCAGGCTTTTAAATTTTAGCCATGCATTATCTCAACTGAAGATAAGGAAATTCCTTAAACCGAGATAAAATTTAGTTATGATTTTATAATTTTTAGATTTGTGTTTGGAAAATTAAAATCTTGGATCTTGTTAATGTAAAGAATATGTACCAATAGTGTAAACTGCTACACAGCCTTTGAGATTTATAAACCCAAGCAAGAAGTCAAGGGAGAAAATGTGGCATACAAAAAGTACTACATATTTTAATGCCTTTGTAAGTCATATTTTGGATTATATGATGTAGTTCCTAGTGAAGTCAGGTGCTATAAAGTTTATCCTGGACGATGCTCCTCTTTAAATTTTATTGTAGGGGGCTGGCCTGGTGGTGCAGTGGTTAAGCTCACACGTTCTGCTTCGGTGGCCCTGGTTTCGCCAGTTCGGAGCCTGGGTGCAGACATGGCACCTCTTGGCAAGCCATGCTGTGGCAAGTGTTCCACATATAAAGTGGAGGAAGATGGGCTCAGATGTTAGCTTAGGGCCAATCTTCCTCAGCAAAAAAAGGAGGATTGGCAGCAGATGTTAGCTCAGGGCTAATCTTCCTCAAAAAAAAAAAAATTAAATTTTATTGTAGTTGCTTAAAATGATAAATTCACATCCATGTATTCCATAGTCAAGGAGAATAAGGGAATTTAAAAATATTTTATAGAGTTACTTCATTGAGTAGAAAAGTTAAGTATATATGTTTATTTTATTAATTCTTACTGTTGCCTGACTTAGTTCTGTGTAAAATATGAAAATGCACTTTTTAAAAGTTATGTTTGCTTTTAAATAATAATTGTAGGCTAATGCTTTTCTGTTTTTACTAAGGCAATTTATTTTCTTGAGTGAGAAAGGGCCTCTGCTTTTCTTTGTTTTACTAGAACCCTCTGAAAGAATAGTTACTTAGTATCCCCCGTCTCTCTGTCTTTACAGTTTGTTTTTCTGTTTAGAGGTAAATGCAGAGTATAATATGTACTTACACAACATAGGGTGGTATTGGTTTTTATGACAAGTAAGTATTGAGTTTAGAAGGCTTTTGAAAAATACTTCCTTTAAAAAGTGTCAGAATTTTCCTGGATTACTTACCTCATTTAAATGGAAAATCATAAATTTTTAAGTGTTTATACCATGCTTTGAATAGGTGCCTTCATATTGAACTAACTGTTTTTAAGAAGTATGTCGTTATCTGGTTTATACACCTTTCAAGTTAGTAAACCTTCTACCTCCTTGTAGTTCCTTAAACATACCAACAAACATTCCTGCCTCAGGAAGTGTTTGCTATTCCTCAGCCTGGAATATTCCTCCTCAAAACATCCATGTGATTTGTTCTTTCCTGTCACCTGATTAGTGAGGACTTCCCTGACCATGTATTAACCACACTCGTTGCCTCCTCCTCTATATTACTATGCTTTATTTTTCTCCATCACAGTTTTCACTCTCTAGCATGTTATAATAAGTTTAGGTTTATTGTTTGTGTCCCCTCAACCCCATAGAGTGGTTACAGGAATTCTGTCTGCTCTGTTCATTACTTTATTCTCAGTGCCAGGAATAGTGCCTAACACACAGTACATATTTTTGAATGTATGAATTGCAGATGCTGCTTTTCATCTTGGACTTGAATTAATCTTATATATATTGGTACTGAACTTAAACTTTAATATTTGCTTTTAACCCTGTTTTGATCCTATCTTAATGTTGTGTATTATTTCTAATAGTAATAAAATATAATTTTAGTTGGTAAGATGTCTTATCATATAGGAGCTGTGCTCAGGTTACACTGGCATCTTGTAGGAAGAAAAAAGAATTCTTAAGAGTCTTAAACTTGGAAAAGGCTTTAGAGATCTAGATAGTATCAGAGAGCCAAGAAGCAGAAGAGATTCTATCTCACTTTAGTAAACTACGATGAGTAAATGTCTGGTGGCCTCTGAGGTTTGGGCAGGAATCCAAGCATTCCTGTGGATTCCTGGCTGTGAATCTGAGATGCTGGATAGCGCCAGGACCATGCCTGGCATTTTTACACAGTCTAGATATCTTTTCATTCAAATAAGAGTAAAGAGTAAGACCAGTTTGAGTAGTGGGGTGAGTACTTTATAGAATTTTAAAATTTCTCTATAGTTAACATGCAGTGCTTTTAAAATGTGGGGGAAGAGCTTAAAAATATAATTTGTACTTAATTTTTATTGTCACATTGTATTTAAGTTTGTGTATGTATTTATGTATGGTTGTATGCAAGCATGCCTGTGTGCATGGAGATTTCAACCTCCTCTCTCAGTAATTGATAGAACTAATAGACAAGAAAGTCAGAAGACCTGAATAACACGATCAACCAACTTGATCTAATTGACATTTACAGAACATTCCACTTAATGCCTGCAGAATATGCATTCCTTTCAAATACACATAAGATATTTGCCAAAATAGACCATATTCTGGGCCATAAAATAAACCTCAACAGATTTAAAAGATTGAAATAGTACAAAGAATGTTTTTTGACCACAAGAGGATTAAACTAGAAATCGATAACAGAAACATGTCTGGGAAATCCCCAAGTATTTGGAAATTAAACAAAAACTTCTAAATAACCCATAGGTCAAATAATAAATCACAACAGAACTTAGAAAATATTTTGAAGTAAATAAAAATGAAAATACAACAAATCAAAATTTGTGGAATGCAGCTAAATCAGTGCTTAGAGGGGAATTTATATAATTAAATGCTTATATTAGAAAAGGAGAAATGTTTCAAATCACTGACCTAAGCTTGTAAAAAAATAGAAAAAGAAGAACAAATTAAACGCAAAGTAAGCAAAAGGAAGGAAATAATAAAGATAATAGCTGTTATCAAGAAATTGAAAACAGAAAACAATAGATAAAAAAGCCAGTGAAATAAAAAGCTGATTCTTTGAAAAGGTCAATAAAATTGGTAAAACTCTCCCAAGACTAAGAGATAAAAGGGAGAAGAAACAAATTAGCAATATCAGGAATGAAAGAGGAGATATCACTATAGATCCTACAGACATTAAATGAATAATAAGGAAATGTTATATGAATAACTTTATTCCAGTAAATTTGATAACTTAGATGAAATGGACAAATTCTTTGAAAAACGTGAACTACCTAAGCTGACCGAGGAAGAAATAGGTAACCTGAATAGTCCTATATCTGTTAAAGAAATTGCATTTCTAGTTAAAAATCTCACAAGGAAAACTGTTCAAATGGTTTTACTGGTAGAATCTATCAAACATTTAAGGGAGAAATAATATCATTTCTCTATAACTCTTCCAGAAAATTTACAAGAAAACTACAGACTAATGTCCCTCATGAACATAAACACAAAAATCCTTAACAAAATATTAGCAAATTTGATCCAGCAATAAATAGAAAAGATAATACATCATGACCAAGAAGAACTTATTTCAGGAATGTAAGGTTGACTTTGAATGCAACATTCAAATATAAAATTCACCACATCAACATATTAAAAAAAAAAGATCATTTCAGTAGATGTAGGAAGGAAAAATAATTGACAAAATTCCTCAGCTATTCATGATGAAAACTCTAAGCAAACCAGAAGTAGAAGGGAATTTTCTCAGCCTGATAAAGGGCATCTACAAAAAAACCTACAGCTGACATCATACTTAATGGTGAAATACTGAATTCTTTCTTCCTGAGATTGGGAAGAAGGCAGATGGCCCACCGTTACCATTTCTAATCAACAATGTATGGTAGATCCTAGCTGGCATAATATGGCAAGAAAAAAAGAATTCAAGTACATTCAAGTTAGAAAAGAAGAAATAAGACTGTCTTTGTTCATAGACAATCTAATATTGGTGGAAAATCCCAAAGATTCTACCAAAAAAAAAAAGAAAAAGAAAAACTGCTAGGCCGAAGAAGTGATTTTAGCAAGTTGCAGGGTAAGAATATATAGAGATTAATTGTTTTTTTGTATGCTAGCGATGAACAATTAGAAATTGAAATAAAAAACCTGTACCTTTATAAGAGCACCAAAAACGTGAAATGCTTAGTGATAAATATAACAAAATATATGTGAGATTTTTTTGCTGAAAACTATAAAACATTGGTGAGAGAAATCAAAGAAGACCTAAATAAATGGAAATATACTGTGCTCATGAACTGACTACTCAATAGTGTCAAGATATCAGTTCTCTCCACGTTGCTCTAAGCATTCAGTATACAATCCCAATCAAAATCCCAGGAGGCTTTTTGGTAGAAATCCACAAGCCGACTAT